GACGAAGGAAGAAGGTAAAGTGAAAAATCGCCCCCTCCCCTCCTTCCCGAGAGACCGCCCTAGATCAGTCTATGCCTTTGAAGCACGAGAAATAAGGATTTATGAGGATGTGGGGACAGGAGAGATTTTCGATGTAAAAATACAACTTAAATTTTCAGGCTGAGGATGTGTTAAGTGCGCCAAAAACTGAGCCTCAACCGGCATGTCTTATTGTTGAGTGCAACGACCTCAGGAAGCTTCCATCGTTACAGAACAACACTCTGATTCGAGTAAGTCAAATTTTACTGGGAAAAATTGTTTTTTTTTTTAGATATTTCCCACCGAAATATTTATTCAGAGCATTCTTCGTTTTATCCACCTCCTGTCTCTCTTTTGCATTTTTTGTACACTGACGGGCTATTGTGGTGGAAAATAGTGACCTTCTTAGGCTGGAAATTGAGGATTCGATTTAATTTGGAACAGAGAAGATTTGAAACGGGTAGGGGGAGAGAATATTTCGCAGTTGCATTATCGTGGACGAAAATCATCCTCAGATCTGTCTTCCTTACCTCCCTCTCCACTCCTCATTTTTCCGTTTTTTGTGGAAAAATTTCTCAAAAAAGTCCCTTTTTTTTCCTCAGTTTTTTCCAGAAGAAAAGGACATTCATGAAATCTTTCATAAAATATCATTTTTGGAACATTTTTGACACCTTTCATAAAATAATTTGCATTTACTGGAAAAATTGAAGATCCTGGACATGTGATATTTCGGTCTTTCGGCCTCTTTTGAGTTTAAAGCATTTAGTAGATTGATATTTATTGTGAAGCTTTGCCATGTACTACTGTACTGTCCTATTTCATAGATTAGGAAGCCGGCTGGGCTTCTGTTTGTAAAAGGCAGCAGTACTGATTATGTGTCTGAAATTTTCGCTGTCACGCTCATCTCAGCTTTTGCTAAAGACTTTTTATTGTTTTTTCTCCTCTAATGCCAGTCCTTTTTATCTGAAGCTGCGTGTGTGTGTGTGTGTGCGTGTGTGTACTGTATGTAGTGTGTATGTGTAGTGTGTAGTATGGGTGTGCGTGTCTGTTTGTGTGTGTGCGTAATTATTTCTTTCTAAAACAGTCTCCAGCAGCACCACATTTTCATGTTTTTTTTTTCTTTATGAGCGTTACCTCGTATGTGCATTTTGGTCGAACTTGGAGATTCGTGTGCTTTGAAGAGCATTCATTTCAGGGATATATCGGTGGTGACAAAACAAATCTGCGATACGTCGTTCATTTCACTGAGCCGCCAGTGATGAACAGTGAAGAATATCAGGCCTGGATGGCTTCATTTGGCCAGGAATCTGAGCATATCATCGTCAATGGGACCGGCCCATGCTTGCCACATATGGAAGCTGTTTACAGGATGAATGTTATTCTGAACTGTATTTGCCCAACGGCATTCCCTCTTCTCTATCCACTCGATTTCAACGGAACGATACAGCAGGCAATTATTTCATTTCTATTCCAAAATGGTGAAAATTCTGCTTTGGTGACTTCAAAAAGCCACTTTTTTATCGTTCTATTCTTTTTTCCTCGCTTTACGCCTAATTTCGTTGATGATTGATGCCTTGAGGGAGGAGGAATGGGTTGTTATAGGGGTAGGTGCAGCAAGAAATCCGCTAAATAATCGCTACTGAGCGAATTTTTGTTTGTTGAGGGGAATTTAACAGAAAACAAAAAATCACCAAACAAAACGTGGTGGCTGGATTACCTAAACGTGTAAAGCTAATAGACATAGCATTTTTGTTTTTTTAATTTATTGGACTTTTCTCGCATTTGGCAAAGTGCCAGAAAAGCTTAGTTTATCTGCTTTATATATTTAGGCACTTAATGGCCGTAATTTTAGTTTAGGCGTTGTATACTTCCAAAATGGCCGAATATATGATCTTTTTTCCAGGACGATGATTGCGAAAAGGACGGCAATAAACTCTATGCAAGACCGTTTCAGCGGTTTTTCCTCCGAAAACCGTCCGTTTTGGAAGCAACCCCGCCAAATGTTTCATTGGTTCGCACTGATCTGATGCTACAGCTCAAAGAAAATGAAGTGACTGCG